AAAAATATTAATTATTTATAAAAGTAAATCAGAAGAGAATTTATAGTAAATAAGCAGGCAAATTTGCCTGCGAAACCTTATAATCTAAGGGATAGTTACCAAATTAAGTATTAAAATGATTCTAGATTTAGTATATAATATCATGAGCTTAACAATTTAGATTTTGTATTTTTTTTAAGAAATATGTTTCATAAGCAAATGGAGATTACATATGATTATTGTATTACAACTGGAGAAAAGTTGTTTTTTCTGACAAAATAACATATCAGATATTTACAAAGATTATACAGATATAGTCTTATGATACATAACCAGTCAGTTAGTTACTTTTATAATAAAAATCTATGATTAATATCAAAAAAAAAAAAAGGTAGAATTCATATTTTCACTAAAATTTAGATTGTCATTTGTACTGAAAAATCTTAGACAATCATTTAATAACCAGTGTTGGCAATTAGACCAATTGGACATAAAATTTATATTTTCAATTGTCCAATTCAAGTAATTAGAATGATAAAGTTGCCAATACTGTGTCTTTTAATAAGATAATAATCTAAAATATACCTTATAAGATAATTAGAAAAACCAACTTCTGATATTAGTCCTTTCTAAGAAAAAAGATCGAATATATAATAGCAAAGAAAAAATTTTCCTGTAATTTATTTCTTACTTATCATATTCTGCCAGGAATAGGATATTTACTAGATTAAAGCATTGCGATTCTGATAAAAATTGATATTGTAATTCATTATCGTTATAATAACTTTTGTAAAATATTATCAATCGGAGCTAAATAACTCTATTTAATGTTATATATAATATATGAATATTGTTTAATATATTTTAAAATATATCAAATACTGTGATCATTTAAATTCATATTTATGGTGGGGGATAATAATTTTATTATAAAATTGATTTGCGAATGTGCTTTAATAACAACGATAACGTCAAGACACGAATTTCATCTCAAAATTATAATAGTCCCGTTTTCGTTTTTATTATGTATTCTTTGTGTTAATGTCATTGATTGATTCTTTGAAGATTTTCTTTAAAAGAAATAATGTATGAAACGGTTGTTTCATATGAAAGCGGGGCTTTGTTTATTTAAATCAAAAGACGTTCCATTAAAAGAGGGAACTCAAAGAGCCAGAATGAGTTTTATTATATTCCAAGAACGGAAGTTTCCAATAACATAAAACAGAAAGCCCACTGAAACTTAAAAATAATTTACCCCTAAAAGTATAAAAAGAAATGAAGATAAATACCTAAATTGTCCAATCGGTGAATAATTGTTACTTATTTTGGTAAAAAAAAATAAAAATTAAAAGCCTTGTCCATATATTATGGAGATTTCTTCTGGAAATCTAATAATATATATATCCAAAGTATTTGAATTGAACACGTTGTCCCCAAGTCGTTGTTTTTTAAATGTCATTTAATTTTTATATTGAGCCAAATGATATACAGTAAATTGATGTTGATTGGACAAAGAATAATGGATTTTTTTTTTGTAATTTATGATGTACCGAACAATTGAAAATAAGGTTTATCGGACAAAGCAAGTAATATATAAAGAAATTTTTCTTTAAAGATGACACAAATTGGAAGGTATAACGGACTATATTACGATGTGAAGGAAGAAAAAAAAAATTTTTTTTATATACAAGCTAATCTACAAACCGATTTTGATTCTTAGAATAAGAGACGAATAGATGAATAAGAAAGAAATTCTTTATAAACAATTTTAACGTTAATAAAAAAGAATTAATTTTGTTAAATCACCTTTTATAAATGTTTTGATGAATTTACTTTAATAATATAATTTTTTGATATAAAAGAACACGATTTCTACGACTTCTTCCAACAACTTTCAAAAAAAAAAAAAAAAAAATAGAAATAAAATTAAATTAATATATATCAATATTCCCAAAATGACCATTTTTGATTTAAAAGTATGTTTAATTTTAATTTAATTTATAAGAAAAAATGAAGAAATATCTAATTTATTTATCTCGTTTGTAGACCGATCATCAAATTAAGGAATTTATGCAAGGTAAAGGGAAAGATCATAGTAAACCGTATGTGGAATTGAGTAACCGTATACCTGAATTTTCCTCAAAACAAATATGTTATAGGTAAATTATTTTATAGCTAGAATTTATTTTCAAACCATTTGTTATTCACGACTTTCTGACTTTTTTCAATCATAAATTTTAGATGGAACTATATTAAGCATCGCGGTAAGTAAAATTTATGTTTTGGATTGCTCTTTATAAAAAAAAAAAACCTAAAAATCACGTTTTCTCTTCTTGAACAGTTACAGATGATCCATTTACGCAGAAAGAAAAGGAATTCATCTCTAAATGGATAAAAGAAAACGATGAAGTATCCTACAATATTAAATGGTCTCGTTGCCAAAAGAAAATGGAGAAAAAATTCAATAAATTCCGTACTGTCGATAGTATCCAAAGGTTGTGGTTTACACATTGTAAACACAGAGAAAGTCGTGTCAAAAAAATCAAAATTCCTGGTACTAATGTCATTAACTTTAATCGTAAACGTGCCAAACGACCTCGTAAAACTACCCGTGTCATCCCCTCTACTATTGTCTTCTCTACTTTCCCTCATCTTCAACTTCATCCTCATTTACCAACTCTAATTCCTAGTTTTCAACCAGAAATTAATATTCCGAAAATGATGCCATTGTTTTAAACCCGTCGGGAATTTATTATCATTCGAAGTAGTATTAAGTGTTTTTTTATTTACTCGATAACGTTAGCACTAGTATTTTTTTAATAACAAAGAAATATCTTTCTATGCTAATAATACCGAAAATATTAGTCTATTTAGTTCAGTAGTCATCCTCTTTTTTAAATAAATTTTAGATTATCTACTTGTCATTATGATTTCTTGTGAAAAAGTTACCATCAATAAAGGTTTGTAATTACGATGTAAAAAATAACTTTGTTTATCTCGTATAAGTCCTATGAACCATCCGCAGAAATTACATTTTTGGGACGAATTCGATGTCCGGACTTTTAATCGTCTGGGAATTCATCTTGAAACCGATGTCCGGAAATCTTTAACATCCGAAACTTATCCAAAAATCGATATTTGAAAATTTCAAACGTTCTTTCTTACAGCTAATTTCAAAAGCGAGCTGTCTCGTGACCTTTGAGATTAGCTGTAAAAATTGTGTCACGTGACTTTGAAATAGAATCTTGATCGAATAATCTAATTAACAATAATAAACAAAACTATATTTGGTTGACTTCTAAAACGCTTGATTTTTATCATAAATTTTTTAAATTATAAATTTTATTTGTAATGTCTTAAATGTTTTCTTTGCACAAGAACTAGGTAATGCGGTTATTATTTTTTACTTATCCAAAATTTTATCTAATTAACCTCAAAAAAAGTTTTTTTAAATAAAAACCAATAATTATAACTACAACTTTTATTATTAAATTAATATTTCATTTGTCTTTTATCTGCATCAATTGATACTTTAATTCATTTTAGCATGTTATGATGCAGTTAACTATAAAAGAATTGTTGAGATCTTTCCATTCCTTTCTAATTACACTAAAAAAAAAAAATTCATTTTGAAACATTTTTTAATTAGATCAGGTCAAGATATATTAAGGTTAAGAAATAACCAAATCCAAAGATAAATTTCCGAGTTTTTTTAGATGTATAATAATTAAAGATAATTCTTAGTATCTTTTGTTGGGGTTAGGATCGTAATGTGATTGATATTACCCAACGTTTCCAATTTTTTTTTTTTAAAAAAGGAAAAAAGATTTCACGATTTCATGGTGCGTGCCAAATGTAATTTTTTAAAAATATACATCAAAAGATGGTGACTCGGAGAAAGATTCATCAAAACAAGATTTCATTGCGAACTTTCCATTTTTTAAAAAAGAGGTTTATGATTGATTATCTCAATCTTTACGCCAAAAAAAATTCTTTTAAAAACAGAGTATAATTTAGGTTTAGATGTGTATTACAGCCCCCTTATCAATAAAAAAGAAATTTCTGATAAGCCTTCCAAATAAACGGTCACGAAAAAAAAATTTTTACAATGGCAGATTTGGTTAGTCCACTTACGTAGTTGCACAACGTAAGTACTATATTGGGGCGCTATTCTTTATTTTGCAAGATTACAACATTGAACAGAACATACAGAACAAAAACGATTATCTGTGTTTAACAACAAAAAAAAAGATTATAGTTCAAGGAAAATTTTTCACCCGGATTGGAACAAAGGTAGTAAAAAAAAAAAGTTATTTAAATGGCAGTAGATTTATCCCTTACCAGTTCCTAAAAAATCTAAATCTTTACAAATATTTATAAAATTACAATTGTTTCAACATATTTTCGCAACTTTACTCAAATCCATTACATTATTTTTACATTAAATGGATCAAGAAAATTATTTGTCAAATTCTCTCGAGAATTCGACAATAACCTTTTATATTATATAATGTCATGTTTATTTGTTCAAATTCTTTCGAGAATTCGACAATAACCTTTAAACGTCAGCCAAGAACGTTTAAACGTTTAAATTTTAATGATAAATAGTTATCATAAAAACAACCCTTACCTTTTTTCGTTAAATCTTTTTAATTTTCGCGATATTATCGCTTCTTCATAATATCGCATATATTCGATTCTTCGAAATTTTCTTCAACAAAGATTCTCATGGCAAAAATCGAGCATTTTCACACGAGAATTTGAAAAATTTACGTTTTCCATAAATATGGTCATTAATGAAATCGTCAGAAAAGGACTTACAACATACTGTAAAGTATCAAAATTCGTTCCGTAATGTATTTAGTTTAGACTGTAGATATTAGATAGAATTTTTCGTATTTTCTATTTTTGATTTGTATTTGTATAAATTTAATTTCATATTAATAAAGATTTTGCGAGGCTACCGCAAGTTTTTTAAAAAGAGTAATGAATTAGGAAGGTTTTCGTATCCAGTGTAAGTGAGAAATAGTCGTATGGTAAGGAGGGTTAGAGATGGTATTGAAGTTGTGTAAGAAGGAGGGTATAATGGAGTAGGTTTAGTTATGGTTCATTTGGAATTTTAAAAACTATTCTGTGCTTGCACCATGTAAAGCTGCATTAAATCAGGAACATTGTCCAAACAAGGAGATTATTTGTTCTTATTTCACAAAATGTTTTAATCAAAATAATAAAATTTATTGATTCACATGATCTGATATTACAATCATATGAGATATTTGTTATATCAATTTATTTTACGTATTTAATTACATATCTAAATAAAACCAAAATTAAAAAAAAAAAATTTAAAAAATGGTACGCACCTTCAACAATAAGTCAGTGTAAAATAAACAAATCTTTCCCTAACATATAACATACAAAACTATAAAATCCATTATCTATTATGCTAATCACATATTTCGATAACTTTATTCTTTTACAACTATCCTAATCGCGAATAAAATTTCTCATAAAACTTACAACCTGTACCTTATGATCTCGACTCGCTTTCGCGTAAGATATTTGCGTTCCTATTGCGATAAGACGTGACTATCATAATATGATACACTTCTAATGGAATACACCTCAACAGAAGTTTGAAAATGATATTTCATTATTGATCCATTGAAGTTCTTCACAAGTTCTTGAATATAATATCGTGATAATTTTCATCAGATCCAACGGATGCCACAATCCATATATTAGGATTCCTTTCGCTTTCAAGTAAAATAAAGAAATTGTTGCAACATTTGATAATTAAGAGCATGTTCAAGGGTAATTTGTTTGCGTCCGATTTAATTATCGCGAAATGTTTTCATTTGTGTTCCATAATTTTTTTTTTGATTAAAAAAAAATGCGATCACCAAATCAAATTCTGGCTACAAAAGAATAATAAAAGGAATATGGACATTAAATATTATATATAAATTAAATTTGGTGAAGGTGATGAAATAATGATACATAGATCACTCTCGAGAATTTTTAATTGCATTTTATTCAAGGAATATAACCTTCAGTGAAACTCAAGAAGAGAAAAATGATTATATACACAGTAATTAAAAAAAAATGAGATTGCTTACATTCATTATTGGACTTTGAAATTTTCAATACCGGAGGGAGGACAAGCTCATTAGCTCATCCCTTAATAAATAACAACATATTATTGCCATCTTAAAGCTTGATATGATGCATTAGGTCCTTGAGATTGACCGATAGAAGAAACAGGTGGTAAGTAATTGATCCTTAATCTGATAGGATATTAATTTCATCTAGATAAATATCTTCTCGTGATTTTGAATGAAATGACGAAGTGGTGATTGTCGTTATATCTTTGAATGATTAACAGCAACGACACATGAATTTAAAGTTCATCAAAATCGTATAATCATGGGAGATTCTGTATTAACACCGTTATCTGCAAAGTACCATCCCTCGTTTAATTGGTGTTAAAAAGTAGAAGAACGATAACTTGAAACATTCCTCCTCCTGGGGTAAATACAAATATATAAATATATATATTTTTAAATGTTTAGCATTAATAGTAAAAACAGATAATTCATACTCTTACCAGTAAAACAAAAACTATTGTAAATTAGAGTCCGGAGAGTGGTAATCTCGAGTGTATTAATAAAATTGTAACAGTTATACAGGACCTATTGATGATTAAAAGAATATATATTGATAAATTAGTTCATATTATTGAAATTTCATCTTCAATAAAACAATAAACTTGGCTTATTAGTATATTTACTTTTTTTTAAAAAAAAAAACGAAGCATTGATTTATGGCAGTGGAATTGGGGTCGTCAGGAAGAAAGGAATGGTACTTGGATTATAGGAACCAATACAGTATATGTAGTATATAATGGGGATTTGGTTCACGGCAGGAAGTCGACGAAGATTGTAATATGAAAATACTGATGCGGCTGACACGTGTTTGGGAAAGTATTGGGAATGTCTAGGAAGAAGTATGAGGATAGTGATACCAAGAGATTTTATTGATGGAAGTGCTGATATAGTTTCTCGTGGAATTTCGTTCGAGGATCAGAGGAAGGGTTAAAGGAATATCAAATGATCGAACAGGAACTCGGTTTCGGAGAAGAGATGACGTAAAAAAAACAGATGAAATAAAAAAGAAGTTTGGGTTTGGTGTGGTCGTTTCAATTGATTTTCAATCAACTAATTATGATCAATAATATTAACGTTAGTAAGTTATTAAAAAATTTTTTTTAAAACAAATAAAAAAAAATATGATTACTTACTGTATGGATTTTATTAATCATATTGATTAGGAAGAAGCATAATGAAGTAATTGTCAACTATAACGCTGCTTTTACATCAATTCAACCTCATGATGCTCTATCTTATATTCTTGTAATTACAATGAAATTAAATCTATTTCTTATACAATTGAAGTAAAGGAAGTATTATATACTATGGTGAAGTCCATAAACTCTAGAACGGCATAAAATTATTCAGGTACATGACCTCATTAAATAAATATTTATTTATTTGGATGAAATTAAAAAGAAACTTTCAGCGAGTATTAAATTACCTAAATTATAAAAGTGTAAAAAGGTCAATTAATTAATATATGATAATTACTAAGCTATTTATAAGATTTTTACATATTGTTCCTTTTACTTGTTATTCGGTGAGATAACAACTTTTATTGAACTGTTCAAAGAAGCTGGTTTATTTATACATGTGTAAATATAGTTCGATAAAATATTCTCATGTTACATCTATAAAAGAGAAAAAAGACGCGAAAAAAAGTTATATGGATGTTCGTGTTACATCGAGATTTTAAGGTATTAGAACCAAATTTAAACGGTTTATTTTTCATTATGTTGCGAACTTAGGTGGATAAAAAATTATTCTGTAATAAATAATTAAATTTCAAACAAGAATATGCAGAATTAGCAATATATATAATATTTATCGTTGGGCTTCGTCAAACTTACCATCTTAGTAAATTACTAAAATGGTGCGTTTCTATTGACAAAGCCCCAAATATGTTTAGAAAGAGCAACTTTATTTAATAAAATTAATATATTCCCAATACAACTGCTTATTTCCCCGATAATATTAAAATTTTCTCTAATTGTAACATAATCATGAAAAGTTTATTATTTTCTTCAATGATTATGCATTTGCTTTAATCCACATAATGCATAATTAAAACATAATTTGAAGTGAAGTTTAAACTTCACTTCATACTTCGACCCGTCCACTTGTTCGTTCATTGATTTAATTGTTGATACGAGGCGTCTAATAGAGGGTCGATCGTGTGAGCAGCACGCCGAGCGAATAATTTCGCTAATCCATTTTTCGAATATAATTTGGACATTTAAAGGTCCTAAAAACAACTTGGGTATTTAAGAGTTATATAAGTTTTTGTTTGTATTATAAGACAGGTTTGCAAAATTTGCAAAAATTTATATTATATATTAAAAATGTTTCGGGTTTAAAGAGTGCAATTTATTTTATTTTATTTTTTTAAAAAAAAAAAATTAGTCGTTTTATTTATACCTAAATATCCGTATAACGTTAAACAAATTTCTAAGCCACCGGCATAAGTATAAACTGTTTTTTTTCGGAACGAAAATTATGTAATAGATTATTATTATTCAAGTGTTTCGGAGAGAGTCGATTTGGGATCGAAAGAAACATAAAAGTTATGTGGATTTCTTCCATATATTTAGAAGGAACAGTACCCAATTTTCGATTAATCTTGAACAATACATTGGCATCAAAAATTATCTCGAATTTTGAAAATTCCGATATCCTGAATGTGACTAGGGGAATTTAAATATAATTCAAACTCTATGCTATTCCGTTGGACTAATGTCTCAACCAGCATTATGTTATAGTAACGAACGTTTGAATCCAAGCATAAGTCACTGAAATTATTCTTAGATAATTTTTCTTCACAATTAGAAATTGGAAGGCATTATTGAATCAAGGATTACGAATAAAATGATTTTCTTATATCAGATTTAATTCATGTAACAGAAGCTGTTAAGAAATATTCGTTGGTATCAACATTCAGTCTCCTAGATTAATATCCAAGATGAAGAGATAAGCATATACACTGGGTTATTCCTTCTACAATTATCACAAGGCATTTTGGCTGAGTTTCATAATTCTTAGAAGAACATTGAGCGTATTTATTTACACCAGTATTGTTGATCACATTCTGGACGAAGTTAATAATAAACTAAATAAAGAATTAAAGAAGGCAAAGAGCAAGAAGTAAATAAATTGTCGGTGGGAGGATAATTGATAAAAATTTTTTTGCTAATTAGATTCTGATATAGAATCACTGGTATTTCGAAATTGACTAACAACTCAGGTGATATACATGCTAAAGGACTGTACTTTAATCCTTACCGAAGGAGTCTCTGCAAAATCTTTGGCAGTCGCTGGGCTTTCCGAGTTGAACGTGATAATTATGGAATTTTCCCACTTCGGTGAAAACTTTTTAAATATTCTTGAAGGTACCCACTCTCAGATCATGAATAACTCAGAGATTCAACAAATAAAGCACATCCTTGGACGGAAGCAAGGAAAAGAATATACATCAACAAGTAAATTACGATATGTCATCTGATGATCAAGTTCACGTTGAAAGCCATATGAAAGAATTAATAATTCGATTTCTTGGATCATTTCTTTTCCTCCTTGCTAAAAATTCCGGGTTTCTTATGAGAATTTATCACACCTATTGTAAAGGTATTCAATCATACCTTGGGATCCAATAATCATTTAACAACTTTTATTAATAAGAAGGGTGATAAAGGAAGTGTCATTCATTCTTTACCATGCCTGAATATGAAAATTGGAAGGAGATGACCCCTGATGCTAAAAATTTGGAAGATCAAATATTATAAGGTAATTTTCTTTTATAGATATTTTACAAAAATTGATGTAACTAATATAATAAATACTCATGTTCCCAGAATCTTGGCACTTCTAATACCAAATAAGCTAAGCAATTTAAAAATTTAAAGCGTCATAAAAAACCTTTTGGAGCTATTCAAGATGGTGAACGAGAGTTGATCGATATGGCCTTTAATTAAAAAAAAAAAAAAAAAGCTGATTATCGCAAGTAATGGGTAACTTATTATGAAGTATGTAATAGAATATTTTTTCCTGGTTCGGAATGTACCATTTTTAATGAAAATTCACATTCTAAAAATTTATATTATTCTAGACAGCAAGAAATTATTATAAAGGATTTTCTAAATAAAAATTATCTTTTTCAGTCAAGCCGACATCTTTTATCTACATTTACTTCATCACCTTCATTATCAATTTTATCACCAATATTATGATTAATTTCATTATCAATTTTGTTCGCATCATTTCTAATTTTCCAATTATTTTTAATATTAACTTTTTCAGAATATTCTTTATCACTGTCTTGATTCTTCATCACTATATGGGAGCTGATCTATTAAAAATGGGTTACAGGAACCTTTCAACAAAAAATGAGATTTTTGATTCATATTATAGTATATTAAATGAACTT